TCTGTAGCTTCACCGGACAATTTCCTGACAATGCTGGACCTTTTCTTTTTTAAATCTGATTTGTTTTTTCCATTGTTGTATTGGATTTAGGAGCTCGCATCCAAGCAGCCTAGGTCCCACTGGGACAGTCTGTCAGTCAGACCTCTCACACTACGGGGCAGTAGAGGACAGTGGTTGATTTTTAGACCTTTGCTGAGGCAGATAAGATCGGCCCATCACCGATCTCCTAAAATGAAGAAAATTTGGGAAGATTTATTGTGAACCTCCAATTTTTACTACTGCTGTGAGGTTTTGTCACCGCTCTTTACAAATTGGCATGACACGCTGATATTAGCTGGGTTATAAGTTGAGATCGCGTAGCAAGCCTGCAGCCAGCTGCTTTACAGATTTATTTGTTTTTTTTATGACCAAAAATATTTCCAAGCAGACAATTTTAGCAGTTTGCGAACTCTATCAGTGCTCAGCAGCAGGTGAGGGAAGGGCAGAATTATGCTTGCCCCAAACCGCTGGAGAAAACACGGGCCATACCCAGCACTTTGTCAGGTATCACGACTTCAAACTGCAGACACTGAAGAAACTTTGTTGGCAGAAAACACACAATTGCCACATTTTTGAATGTTGCCACATTGATTTCACTCTTCTTTTTCATTTGCATCATCCTGGTGTTTCCACAAACACAGTGTGCTATAGCATCTCCAGCACTATGATACAAATCAAGTATTGTTGTCAAGAAAGATAAAAATCCACAAATTAACCGAATACAATACATGACACTTGACAAATATTCCTCATACTAAATGTTGTACCAAGCAGCCCCGTACAATTTTTATTTAAATACCCATTTTTGAAAATTGCTATTTTTTTTCTAAACCATTGTCTACTTTAATTTCTTCCTTGTAGCACAGTCCAGTTGACCATGACACAGTATTGATTAAATTTGGGTCATAATCAATTTTTTTTCTCCCTTTTGAATCAAACCAAGCTGACAGTTTACACTCTTCTCCCTCCAGCCTTGGCTCGGCTGGCCACAGCCCTCACCAGCTGTCTCCTCCAGGCAGGGGGTCGTCTGGCACACTGCACCCGAGATGTGCCCCCTTGTACCCAGAGTAGGATGGGTAGGGGTTTGGGAGCAAGGGTGGATAATTCTTATGACTGGGATTTATCCACCAACGACTACTGACTCAGCTCTCTGTGTTCCAATCATACAGAAACACACACTCACACACAAACAGGCAGGCGTCTCCTCTCTTGCTTTCACTCACTCAGACTCTTAAGAGGCGTAGGATACGCTGGCCCGGGGAGTCGGGGGAAGACGGCTACTGGGTGCTGTCAGGCAGTGGTAATCTGACTGGATTACCAACCAGGTGGAAAGATTCAAACCATCTCCTTCCCACCCACTTACACCCCATCCCCCCGTTTCTGCGTTGCTCGTCATCTCATCGCTTTTCTGGCTTAACACAATGACACGCATTGACCGAGACTCCCCAAATTCCATGCACAAAAACAGCAAGCACGTACAAAGAGGAAGTAATGAAGGGGTGTGTGTTGCACATGCTGGTGTTACGATCAAAGTCAAGAAACTTCCAAGAGCCCACAAGATTATTTTTTCCAGGCATGATTATGATGAGCGGATAGGGGCGCAGATATTCAGCGCAGGATCTGGAGTTTGGCTAACAAGACTCAACATGAAGGGAATCAGAGCAAGAGAGAGGCAAGACACAATCAAATGGGAGGTTATCTACTCTGACAACATAAGGAGGAACTGAGAATATGAACCCTACAGAGTTGAGAATGAGTGTTTGTGTAGCATGACACTAACATAAACTCCAATACGAGGTCCCACACACACACACACACACACACACACGCACAACCATGTAAACAAAAACCGTCTGCTGTCTGGGAAGTAACACACCTGTTCAATGACAAGCACTGCCACTCCCTCCACAATACTGCACACCTGTGCTACTTCAGGCTAAACCTAACCCTAATCTCACACACACACATAAACACACACAGTGAGGTGACTGCTGCCAGGGGCTAACATCACAGAGCAGGGAAGAAAAAGAAGAAAAAGGGAGAAGTGAATAAAAGCCAACAGGGTAAAGACGGAGAGGAGAGGGGGAGGCAGACAGACGGACGGACAGACACAAAGGCTTTCCCAGCGCTCCTATCAGTAATCTGAACGCCTGCGTAATATCATTGTGGGGCTGAGTCTTATGGCACTGGTATGCGTCTGTCATTCCACCACTTTGTCAAGAGAAACCATATTCAAGCAGACACCATGCTGATCTAAATGAGAGGCTTCAGCAAATTGATGGATTGCAGGTTCTCTGGGATGTGAAAAAAAAGCAGATCTGGAGAGTCTATTTTTTATTGTATTAAATTTTTTCCTTTGAATTTTTGTAAGCGACACAGCGAGTCTGGTGAGATGTGGATGTGTGTGTCTTTTTTACAAAAATCTGAAACAACCCTGCCACCTCCTGAGCTCCCCCATTCCTCCTCCTGCTCTTCTACGCCCAACTCCACATCATATCTACCCCCTGTGCCGAGGCCTAGGGCCAGGCGTACAGCTCTCCGAGTCTCTAAGGGGGGTGAGGACAAAGGTAACCCCCCCACCCCATCTCATCCTAACCTCAAACCAAACACACACGTACACACATGTATCCAGCTCCCCCACCCCTAAACAACAATCCTCCATGCCCATCATGTCAGTCAGAACCCCATAAGGGACATGCATGGAGAGTCTGAATATGTGGAATCTCAATACAGTGTCATGCACCTTGAGACGGAGTGAGAGGCCTTCTTGAATATATTTCAATAGCATTATCACCCTAAATTACAATACTTACTCCCCCCTGCCCCTACCCCAACCCACCACCTTTTAACATTACCAAATCAATTTTAAAATGGGCGCTGTAATGCCAGCAAGCAACAATATCAGTCAAATTGGCATTTCAATTGTTTTGCAAGACAAATGAGAGTTAATGATTGATTCAAGAATGACGTGGAGCGTTTCTTTTGCTTGAACAATTTTCGTCAAATTTCAGAAAAAAATAAATAGAAAAAAAATAGGCAACAGAATACTTCATCATGTATGTTTAAAAGTAATCATTTAGATTCAGGGAATCTGAGTCAAGATGCCTTTTCCTGCCGAGCATGCTTTCAAAAGCAATGATTCCCCCTGTCCCTTACCCCCCCATCATTATTAAAATCTCCACAATTATATATTCTACATTACACGGATTAGCAATTAAAATTAACATGAAATGTCTATAGCTTTATATAAAGGCTGCTCAGCAGGAGAGGTGACACCTGACACATTTATACTTGTAGGAGATTAGAAAATGCTTCAATAGAAGGTGGAATAAATATAAACACACACAGGCTCACGCACATACACACACACACACACATATGTACATATATATATATATATATATATATATATATATATATATATATATATATATATATATATATATATATATACATACATATAGATAGATAGATAGATAGATAGATAGATAGATAGATAGATAGATAGATAGATAGATAGATAGATAGATAGATAGATAGATAGATAGATAGATAGATAGATAGATAGATAGATAGATAGATAGATAGATAGATAGATAGATAGATAGATAGATATTTTTTTTAAATCCCAGCCATTTTCTTATATTTTTATATAAAAGAAATATAGAAAGAATATATTGTTTGTTGTATGATATATTGGTAGGTAGTTCATATTTTGTATATTATACATAGACTGTATGAAATATAAAATGTTGTGAAGACGAATGCACAATTTTTAGAATGAAGCCTCAAGGCACATATAATTGAAATCACTCGATCATGTGCCTAGATCATTAGATAGTAATTTCAGGACAACTAATATATATATATATATATATATATATATATATATATATATATATATATATATATATATATATATATATATGGACAGTTCTTAATTTCGGTGATATCAGTACTAGGTCTGCTTTGTGAAGGACAGTGTTGTGTGTGAAGACAGAGGCGGTGTGTGTGTGTGTCCTACACACACCAGACACACCGGACTCTCGGTACCAGTGTCTCTCAAAGAACCAGGTCCACTTCAAAATAACGACCGCAGATTGTTCTGCCTGAACTACTGGATCCCACTCATCCGGTCACTCCAAGGTCTTTATATCCAATTAAAGATTTCAGCAATAATTCTCTTTCTCCCTCTTTTTCCGCCTCCGTGCACACACACACACACACACACACACACTCACACACACACATACACCTACACACGCAGACACACACTCCTCCCTTATTGAAGCAGGATACCAAAGCTACTTGTTAAATCTAATGCATGCACTGTCAACTCATTCGCACCCCGTCACATCCCCGCTCAATATAGAGAGCGGATTATTACACACAACTCCTCTTCACCCCGTTTGGGACCAGAACACACGAGCATGTGACCCGAACCTTCACCTCCGAACGACAAAATTTAACTTAATAACAAATTGTTGTTTTTGTATTAAATGAGCCGAATGGTTTATTTATTATGAACTGATGAGTTCTGCATGAATGTATGACAAGAGCGCGCTGTTGTTTGTTCGTCTCTTACTGCATGAGACTAAATCATTCTCGATTTTTTTTATTCTTCTGAGACTGAAGTACAAAGTAAATAAAATAGCCTAAATAAAATAGTCTACGTTGTAAATGTTAAGCTGTGTCTCGTGTAAAAACGGGCAGCTTTCTGCGTTTGTTCCCGAGCTGCCGTCGACTAATAATCTTCTCCTTCTCTCCCTTTGATCACCACAGAGAAATCACACATTTCCGTTCTGAATTTTAGTTCAAAGTTGTTTTGAAGTCAGCATTAAAGCTATGCAACAGCAAGCGCTGAGAAAACTATTGCATCAAACTTTCACACAGCAGAAAAAAAAATCTATAATAATAATAATAAAACACAGAAAAACACAAGCGCGTTTAGAAACACCGACCTGAGTGCGGACCCATGGGTAGGTGGGACGAGTAGTATTTCCCGGGCTGGAAGTGCGCCGGGTGCTGCACGGAGCTGTGGCCGCCCGGCGCGATCCGAGAAGCGGCGCTGTGCACCAGGGCGCTCCGCTCTGTCAGGAGGTGGTGCGGCGGGGCGAAATCGCGGCTTTCCATCCCGATGAGAAGCGAATAAATTCCCACAAAATCCAAAGTAAAAAAATAAAAAATAAGAAAAACAATAAAAATTTCCAAAAAAAATAAAAATAAAATAAAAATCCAGAGGCACTGAAGGTTTCAGGCACCCAGAGCCCCGAAAGAAAAAAAGAAAATATGATAGTAATCCCTTTTTATGAACTTCGCGCTCCCTTCGCTGTGTGGAGCGCAGTGCACGGCAGAAACGGAGTCCCCGACATGTCCTGCGGAAAGAGAGAAGGAGAGAGAGAGAGAGAGAGAGAGAGAGAGAGAGAGAGAGAGAGAGAGAGAGAGAGAGAGAGAGAGAGAGAGAGAGAGAGAGAGAGAGAGGACAAGTCAGAGCCAGGCGGTGATGTTTCGCTGGAGGAAAGGCTGAGAGACAGCCGCTGTTGAAGTTTACACAAACAAGCATTATTCATCAACGGGGAAAAACATCTTTAAAACAGCAGCATTATATTCTAACCTGACTGTCTGTACGGTGAGTGTTTCATGAAGGTAACCAGTGCGTATGGAAACAGACTCGCTTGGCTTTACACTGCACAACATACACGGCACACACACACACACTCTCTCTCTCTCTCTGGCTCACACACACATAAACACACTACTATTCTTCCACTCATACGACAGAACAAAAGGAAAATAAACAGACAGGAGCGCAAAGAATGGAGAGAAAACGGCACGTTTGGCCCAGGCACCAAACAACTCATCCACACACAGCAGCAGCAGCTGCAGCAGCTGCAGCAGCAGCAGCAGTCAGTCCTGGTTCGGGTTGGATGAGGCTTTTAGTCGATTGGTAGCTTGGAAAATGTTTCGTCCACGCAGACTCAACAAGGACTGGACCGAATCTTGCGCAAAAACAGCAAGAAAAACACAAACAAACAACAAAACAATCTGCAATCTTCTGGATTTTGTGTTTGCACGCCAAAACGGATTGTCGCTCTCAGAATTGCGGTTATATGTAAACTGAGTTTCAGGCATTTTTGTTTTGGTTTTTTTTCATGTCAGATTGAGTCAGGCGATATGAAGTCATGTCATATTAAAGAAAAATATTACCATATTAAGATGAGAACAGCAACAGTATTCATATATATATATATATATATATATATATATATATATATATATATATATATATATATATATATATATATATATATATATATATATCCCTGTCTCTGCCCCTCGTACAGACCCTTTAGTTAAGTGAGTCTCTCTGAGATGCGACCACAGGAACAGAGGCAGTCTGAGTCCCCAGCAGCGAACCTCCATCTATCAGCTCTTCCAATGCATGGCACGTCCATCCAACACTTTGTAGATGCTGATCGCACCTCTACCTCACAGGAACAAAGAAAATACCAAATGCTCTGGTGGACCAGGACTGCTTTTATGAACTTCCATGAGGCTCACACACACACACACACACACACACACACACACACACACACACACACACACACACACACACACACATTAACTTTTCCTAACTTATTTATTTATTTATTTATTTATTTATTTATTTATTTCAAGAATAAATTTGTCCGCAGTTCATTGGTGCTAACAGAACCAGCTTTCATGAATGCGCGCGCCTTGTGCGTAAAACCCTGACGTATAACGTATAAATATACATCCGAGCGTCTTTTCCCGAATTCAGAGCGCTCTTAAATTATTAAATTTCCTTTTTGTTTGAGAGCCTGGCGTTATCTCTGCGGTGCATATCTGGTCGGCGCTGGGAGAAATAAAAAGGTTAAAAAAAAAGTGTGTGTGTGGGGGTGGAGGGGTTAGCAGAGAGAGGGGAGTTGGGGGGGTGCTGGTGGTGGAGATGAACGCAGGCAAAATGGGCTCCTCACTCCTCTTTCTCCGGGGCCCTAAGGCTGTGAGAAACAATGGCCCTTCTCCGCGGGGGCATCAATCACACACCACTCTCCTCTCTGACGTTTGTCTATAGGTTTTTTACATTTTCGGCCCATAAACACACGTCTCAGGGTGTTTACATTCCAAGTCAACAGAGAAGCCACTCAGGGCCCCTGCGTCCAACAACAATCTCCGACTCTAAATCCACGCAAACAGGAACGGTACGAGCAAGATTTCAAAAAAAAAAAAAAAAGAAAGAAAGAAAAGAAAACAAGAAAGAAAGAAAGAAAAATCGCTTTGGAGCTGTTGCGGTGCGTTTTAAAGCCAGCCGACGTGGAAAAGCTTTAGGACTTCCTACCAAACACACAAAGAGGCAGGGAAGAGGTCAGACTAAAGGAACCCACCGCTGGTCAAGGCGACATTACATGAACTTTGGACAAAAGACAGAAAATCTGCAAAGGATCGTGGCAGTAGATCTCGTGCAGTTGCGGTTTAGAGCAAAATACAAAAAGCGTCTTTTGTGCTCTCTTTTTATTTGATTTGAATTTATGTTATTTTAACAGGAATACATTAAACCGTAAATATATTGACCTTTGCACACAAAAAAATCTAAATGAATTATTATTATAATTATTATTTAAGCTTTTAATTATTAAATTAGCTCGGGTTTTCGGAGATGTGTGTGTGTGTGTGTGTGTGTGTGTGTGTGTGCGCGCGCGCGCATGTGTGTGTGTGGCGTGGTGACAGTATCCCGCTGCAATTGATCATTTTTAAATAAAAGTCCAAAAGCAGGCGTGACGCACCGGGTGAGAAAAGCAAGAGGCCAGTCCGGAGCGGGGGAGAGCAGAGCAGAGCCCGGGCTGCAGCCGCAGACTGCCCGGCGTTTTCCTCAGCGCTGAAAGCCGAGAGAGCACTGCAGTCTTCACACACACACACAAGCAAACACCCTCACTCACTCACACACACATCGCAAGAAACTATCCGAAAACACTGAATTTACATTTTAAATTCAAGCTGCTGTGGCGTGGTGGGCTATGAATGATTTAAAGAAACTGCAGGTAATTTGTGCTTTGAGGAGAGATCAAAACAAAAAGTGACACACACACACGCGCGCGCGCACACACACAGCTAAGTGCTGCTGCTGCACACTGGTCAGGAGATGGTGGTTAACATGCGGGATGGACGCTTTAAAACGCTGCTGTCTGTCGTTTGGGTGAATAGGAATAAAGACAGTCGACAGGTTTGATCCCGCTTCTCCCCAACAGCCCGCATCTTCCAGGCTCCAGTTCTGTTTTACTGTAAAGGCGTCATTTCCCCCTCAGCCTTCCTCAGAAAGGTGAAGCCGAATTTTAAAGACGGCCAGTTCAAGGTAACAGTTTCCTCTCCGCGGAAGAAGCGAACTCAACGCGATGTTCGCCGCACGTACAACAGAAAGTGGAATGAAATCATTTTGACGACTTACTGCTAACTTAGATCCGTTGCTCGGCGATGAGGGCTAAAAATGAAAGGAGGAAAGAAAGAAAAAAAAAGTAGAAAAATATTCAAAGTGAAAATCCCCGAGTCGCCCAGATGAAACATGTGGGATTGATTACATCCTAACGCTGCTGCCGCTGCAGACTGCGCTGGTGTGTGCGCTCAGCTGAGGTATGGGAGAGACGCATCATAGAAGTTCAGGCTTGTAGTGAAACGGGGCTCGTTCATGCAGCCGGAGACTCAGACACGCCGGGAGGAGGAGGGTGGAGCGGGGCGGAGGAGGGGGAGGAGGTTGAAGGGGTGTGTGCGCGGGGAGGAGTGGACGCGCAGGCCTATTGGTTTGAGGACGACAATGTGAAAGCGTGCCCGTGAGGCTCTCCCCCTCCTCCCCCGCAACCCTTTACGCACACACACACACACACACGCACGCACACACACACACACACACACACACACACTTCTCTCTCTCACACACACACTCACACGCACACACTCACACACACAGAGCAGCACTACCACCACCGCTGCCCTCCCTTCCGACGGTAAACACAAGCTGCTATTGGCTGCTGCCGGGAGCCAATGAGGGAACCTCCGGAGCCGCGGAGCGAAACGGCGGGCGTTTGATTTGCAACCCTCGGCGCGCTGCGTGCTGGAGCAAATGCGAGGAGACAAGCGGCACAGCTCGGCGCAGCTCGGCGCTGCCTCTCACACACGGAGCGGAGAGGAGCGGGAGTGAACAACAGCATCCGGCTCTCATTCCGCGGGATCCCGCCGCAGCGGAGCTCCAAGTGGGAGCTGATTGGGCCCCGGTCGTCATTTCTGACGCGTGTCGGCGGTGATGTGATCGTTTTATTTCCACTGACGCTCCTTCGGGGAAATCTACTTTTTACGTTTGATTCGAGCCCCCATGTACGCGCGTTCCCTGATTAAACTCACTGTGTGCTCTGCTCTGCTCTGCTCTGCCTGTAAACGGGAGTTTTGTAGGATATTATAAGGGTCGTTAAAACGACCTAAATTTGAATAGGTGACAGTCATTTGTGTGTGTTTTTGCGCAGTGCTCACAATGTGCGAGTCCAAAACTTTGCGTACATTACGTCACGACAAGCACAATATTTGTATTTTTTCCATTTATTTTAATTTGCTGACACTTGTGGTCACGCGGCTTTAAGCTTCAGTTGATTATCAGTTGAGTCTCAGTGAAAAATGGAGATTTGCTTTCATTACAACCTTTTTCCCCCCCAACGAGAGACATTCAATTTTCTGAAATTCTCTTTTTTTTTTCTTTTTTTGAATTTTTACAAATTATTCAGTCATATTTTCTGTAAATGAGCGTCACCAGGAAGGGAAAGTAGACATTTACTTTGAAGAGCGTAGTACCAGACTGTTCATTCCCTGACTGCTTTCTGATCTCCTTAAACATGTGACAACCAACACACACTGAACTGCTGACAAACACTTGAAGCATTTGAAACAGTTTAGCCGCTGCGTGACTTGGGTCGACAACAATCACAGATTGACACGAGAGCTTCTGTCCAACTTGTGGTGTGAACGCGAATTCTGCTTTCACGCTTTTGGTGGCTCATCGACGGTGTCTGAACTTATGAATAATTGTACAGGATAAACGTCACGTGAATATGACGTTTGGACGGCGTTAGATATGACCAATAAATTATTTAGGCCTATATATTACTTTAAAAACAGGCTTAGACTGGTCGATTTATCTTGGTAATAAATCCTAAAAAAAAAAGCAAACATATATTGCTAAGAATTGAACCAATATCAGCGATTCAGTTAGTTTTCAATGTCATTCGTCGTGTGGCTGTTTATATCGCTTCTGTCCTGTTAGCACTAGTTTTGTGCTAATGGTAACGTCAAGCTACCATTAGCTTGACGTAACTTGACGTTTGCTAGCACATTGTACTCTTGGTCCTTTCTTTTTTTACATTAAAAGTGAAATATATTCTGACTTCTCAATTGGAGGTACCAACACAAATGCCACCCAAAGCAGCAATTGGCAATTATGTTGAGAATTTGAGGTTGTGAAGCAGTAAACCGGAAGCAGGCATAGTAAACTGTAACATATGTTAGCTTAAACATGTACAAGGAATAGACGTCGTTACAGGCTTGCATTGTTAATGTTTCCAAAACAAACAACAGCACTGACGTTCCAACTTGCAAGCAGAACTCACTTAACCCGAGGACATCACATTTCCTCATGTAAAATGTACTGAGATGTCCGAAACAACTGGGAGACATACCATGTGCCATCCAAGCTCTTGTTGTCAGGGAAACGGTTTACATGAAAGCACGTTAGAAAACGCTTTAAAAGTTTCAATTTAGAATTTTACATTATAAACACAAACCAAGTAATGACAAATTAAACATGCGAAAAATTTGTTAAAATTTCATTATATTTATTTATTTTTTATTTTCATTTGAGTGAGTGCATTTCAAAAACTGGAAGGAATTTCACTAAATGATCAAAATAAAGCTTTTAATCTTACATAATTTCTAACCATAATCGCTGATTGAGCTTTAATAACGTCCATGCAAGTGCTTTTATCAATATTTGGCCAGTTTGTTTTATCAGCGCATTGGTCGACTTTTTCTTCAGTGCAACCTGATTATTATGAAATAAGCCTATTTTATGACCTGCAATGCTTGTAATGCTTGGGACTATAATCACATGGGCATTTGGAGCAAATGATGCAATTTAAGTGTATTAAAGTTAAAACATGTGGTGTTTATATATATATATATATATATATATATATATATATATATATATCTATATATATATATATATATATATATATATATATATATATATATATATACACACACACACACATAAATGATCAACTCAATTTGCTGCGTTCAGGCCTCTTATATTTGTATTAGTATTTATTTTCTAAAAGGGAAGTTAACAGAGGAGAAATCTAGATTGTATAACATGTCTGTTTCTTTTTTCTTTTTTTTAAACATGCGTTTATTTACAGTTATGCATGTTTGTGTCATTGTGTTTTCTTTCACTGCGAGACAACTTTTAATTAATTTCATCTGGAATTCAGTTACAGCGTTCAATTTCACTTTGCCCTTCTGTCCTCTGAAAACTTTTTGGAGGCACCCCAAAATCTGAATCCCAAACAAAACATTTGGCTTAATGAAGCCACGTGTGTTTCATACAGAAGGCCAAAAAAATAGACAACTGTACATTTAAACTCCATATATTTACCTGCCTCTTACTCTCCCCCCCACCACACTCTTTCTTTCGCTCGCTCTCTTTCACACACACACACACACACACACACACACACACACACACACACACACACACACACACACACACACACACACACACACACACACACACACACACACACAGTCACAGAGGACAAATTGAATCAGTGCATAATTTGAAAGCGTTACTGTCCTCCGGGTTAGCCCAGCGCATGGTTCACTAATTTAGCCAATTAAAAGTGGAAGGATATGGGCTTGTGTGTGTGCTTCCATGTCGAAATATATGAGCTGCTACGGGCTAATATTCCCGTGCAGCTTTTTCTCTTTTTTTTCTCGTTGTTTATATCCGTCCAGGCAAAGGGTTAAAACTCCGGGGCTGTTCGGCCCAGCGAGACTCCTCATTGGCTGGCGAGTTGCCAGCACGCTGTCAATCAACGAGTGTAAACAAGGCTCTGATTGGCTGCTGGCCAGTCCGCACTGGGCTGCCTGAAAAAAGCAATTACTGCCCCTGCGGTTTCCAGGCGCCCCCAGCGCCGAACGATGAAAGGAGATAAGGAGGGGCGGTTTCAAGGCGCCCTGCGCCTCCCTCCGCACGCCGAACCCCGTTGGCCCCAGAGCAAAAGGAGAGTCAAGAGTGACTAAATCAAAGGGAAGACGGCAGAAAAAGGGGGGAAATTACACGTTGTATTAAACGTGGAGGCTCGATCCGCGCAACGCAGCAGAAACGAGTCCAGAGAGAAGAGAGAGAACCGGAGAAGAGCGGCGGCGAACCGAGAACCGACGGCTAAGAACTGTTCTTCACCCGCTCCGACAAATAGAGGAAGAAAAGTATTTTTTCTTGTTGTTTTTGCTGTCGGTGAGGCCAGACAGGAAATAGTCACATTTGTCTCTTCAATGCCGAAAATACAGAAATTTACATCCCGCGTCCCCAACGCTCACGTGCGCTCGCGAAGAGAATAAAATCTTTTTTTTTCTTTTTTGTTTATTTTTTTTCTTTTTTGTTATTTGTTTCTCTCTCTCCCTCTTTTTTTCTTTTATTGCCGGTGATTCAATGAGTGGAAATATCCGAGGTTAGGCCACACGGGAGCTTAAATAGTCGGTGAGTTGGAATAATAAACTAAATGATAAATGGCTTATAACGGTTCACGACCTGAACTTTAGCGATAGCCTAAAACGACTTATTTCCCCCCAACTGTAGATTAATATCCTAATTGTATTTGACTGGAGCTCTGCTGTTTGATTTTATGAGTATTTCTAACTATGTTACTGCATTGCAAAAAAAACAAAAACAAAAAAGTAATAAGCAGTTTGGAGGGGTGATCAATTTCAGCACATATACTTAATTAAGTTTTAACCATGCATATTTATTTACAAAATATGTATTTTAAAAATGTTTACAAAAAAAAAAAAACAACAACAACCCTGAATTGAACTCTGGATATTTTTCAGTTGGTTTTTGCAGCAGAGATCAGTCAGTTCTGCTGTATTTCCATGTGTTAATTTCAACTTCATCAAACTTATGAACTGTCACAAACAGCCGGAGCCGGAAAGCCATCCGGGTCCTGGCCAAGCTGAAACTATGAGCAGCAGCACAGCGCGGAAGGCAAACTTGATATCAATTTTGTCAACGTGTGAAGTGATGCAGCGAGATAAGCGAACCGTGCAGCCTGGATGCTGAGTTCAGACATTAGATTTTACCATACTGATTTTATCATAGTGATTTTATCATAGTGATTTTATCATAGTGATTTTATCATAGTGAATTTACCGAGCTTCTTGTCAACAAACGGCGGACTTAGAAGCTGGTTGGTTTATTTATCTCAGAATTTAAATAAGACAAAAATAACAAAAAAAAGTACATTTTGGAGTTTTATTTCTGCAATTTCTCTGTTAAGTCACAACAACAAAACCACTTTCTATACCATGTAAAATGTCTGATTCTTTCACCGG